GTCTGTCAGTACGGTATGCAGAAACTGACATACAGGTTAAAACTATAAGAATCACAAATGGACAGAAAATAGACAATTTATAAAGAAAAATAGATGTAAATATTTTTATCAGGCAAGTAAGTTGTATGTGTTGTATGTCTTCTGTGTTCAAACAATGTAAAATCAAAGAATAATTTATAAAACAAAAAAAATGTCTCTCAGTATGATAGTGTTTGTAAAACCGATTCAAGTGATATAAGAAAAGTTTAATCCCAAGCAATAGACATCTGCAACAGTAACGAGATGCATCTTCAATGTATTAAATAATTATTTGCAATCGATTAGTCAAAGACAGAAAACATTCAACGATCTTTAGGATTCAGCATTTCTACCTTTTCTGATGTCTTGAAATGTGAGTAAAAAATCCTTTACCTTCCACTTTGATATCATCACCGTAGAGAATCAACAACCCAAAGCTTGAGCCAGCTTGATGCTTCAACAAACCCAAAGTGGGAGGAGTTTTCACTCACCGACTCGTCCAAGGCGAAGCGCAGGCAGCCATGTTCGTACAGCACGAAGAATCTCCGCTGCCATTTCTGAAAGCACAACACACATTTCTTCAGAGCAGCCCAAAGAACAGACCTATTGTCCTTCGTCCGTGGAGCAAAAGAAAACAATATCCTAAAGCATTTGCTTTCATTTCTTAATTTCAGATTGTGAGGAACTCCACCACAGAGCTGAAGAAACGTCTGCAGAGGAGTGCGTGTAGGCGTACTCACCCGGGATCTCTGCATCGGATTGTCAAAGTCCGTTCCCTCAGGAGCCAAGCACAGCCATCCAGCATAAATAGGCTTGGCCTGTTTAAAAAAAAAAAAAAGGGAAAGAAGGGTAATTTAGATAATTATTAAAGCTGAGGCAGAATGTGAGCTTTGGGGAGGCTGAGTAAGAAAGACTCTGGTTGAATTTAATTGAAGGAAGCCTTTTAGGATCCAGATGTTCCTCTGTTGCTATGGTGCAAGCATTCGCACACAACCAGGTTCTAAACATCTGGTCTGTGATCAGACTTTTCATGTAGGACATAGATTTTAATCAATCAATCAAATTTTTGATTTGAATATTTATTTTTGGAAAATCTGGATTTTGTTTTCCACCAACGAGTGATGTCATGTTCAGGGCGGCCATCTTGTTTGACAAGAGTGTTTTTCAGCTTCTATTTACTTGGTCTTTGAATTCAAGTCGACGAAATATAAACAGTCAACCAATGATTTCATTTTCACGCAAATAAAGTCGTTACAAGAATGCAGCAGACGTAATACAAGCATAAATGTTGCCAGAAAAAAGATGTAGCAGTAGGCAAAGGAAGAAGCAATTTTATAAAAGAAAAGTTAATTTCTTATTAAAACAATTTTTTCACATAATTCTGAGATGTTCAAGTAAAATTGTGTTTTTAATTCTGCTGATTTTGTTTAATTCTTCCAATTAAACTATATGTCCTGTAGACTGGCCTTCATAGAAGGGACGACTGAAATAGAAGACACTTTTTGGAAATGTTTTCTGTCATTTGCAATTTCTTTTTCAGAAAAAAAAAAAAAGAAAAGAAATCAATCAAAATCAATTAAAATAGGAAATCAGATCTGGTATGAAACAATTAGCCATACCACCCAGCTCTAGTGGTTTTCCTGCCCCATTTTACTCTGATACTCCTAAATAAATACATTTGTGTGTAATATAGTTTCAACAGCGTTTACTCCAAAACCCCCAAAATTAACAAAAACAATAATGGGGGCCATTCACGGCTGACGTGAGAGAATCCGTTGACATGACAACCATTACTCCTCAAACTTGGATTTATCAAAGGGTGGCAAGAAGAAAGCAAGAGTGAGCCTTTTGACCAACATAAAAACGCTGCGGGTGGTGGAAAACTAACGCACCATCCCCACAGTGAAGCATGCTTGTGTTGGCATCATGCTGTGTGGATACTTTTCTTCAACAAGCACAGGGAAGCAGATCAGAGATGATGGGAAGATGGATGGAGCTAAACGCAAGAGTAATTCTAGATGAGACCCTGTCAGAGGTTCACATTGAACATATAACCAGAGATAAACACTGGAATGGTTGGTTTAGACCAAGTTGGAGTTGAAATTATTTTGTTTGACCACAAGTCAAAAATGGTGAAAATTTGGCCAACAAAATATAAAACAACTGACGACCGATAAAATGTGGTAAATATCTGTTGTTCTTATATTACGGCAACGGTCCAAATGAGACGTTTTGGATACTTAATCTTATTTTTCAAAAATTATTATTGTTGAGCAGGTAAAACTAAATCACAACGTATTTTTCACTTTTTAATTTAATGAATTTTGTGGGTCACCAGTGTTTAAATTTGCCACTTTTGGCCAAAAAGTTTTTGGTGTCCTAATCCAGCTTGGATTAGGGCTAGACGATATGGCTTAAAAACCTATCACCATGTAAGCGTTCATATCGGTTGACATCAATAATTATTGATTAGTTTTTTGTTTTAAATATCTGAAATACTGACAAACTGGTGCCATGACCTTCCCTATTTTATCCAGTTTTCATTTCATGCCGTTGTTTATTTTTAAGCAGTTATGAGGCACAATGGCAAAACATGAAACTGCTGCTGTCACTCAGTAGGTTGTTGCCAGGTAAACACAAGTTATTCAACAGGTTATTGCTAGGTAACCAAAGCCCGAGTGACTTAGTTGATGCAACTCACATTTCCTTAGCTGGCCGTGAGAGGTTGAACAGATAAAGTCTTTCCACTGCCTACACCACCCAGAATTCTGTTCAGTTCTGAATCAAAGTTCAGTGAAATTATTGAACAATCAGTTGTTCTATCTATTGATATTGATCGCGTGTCTATCGTGATGTATTTTGTTACTGACTTATTTTCTACATACTCATTTACTCTAATGGCCTAGTCAAAGCCTATAGACCTAAACTCAACTGAGAATCTATAGTGAGTCTTAAACTGACGTCCACCAAGTCAAATCTGAGCTACATTTGCAAATAAAATGTTTGCAGCTACAAAGTAGATGAACACACACACAAAAATAAATCCATCTGTTTTCTTCCTTTTCACAATTATGCAATGCTTTGTGTGGTCCATCACATAAAATCCCAATAAAAACACGCAGAAGTACAGAGCGACTCAAACGCATGTCCTCTCCCATAGAGTGGGATTACCAGCTAACCATTAGCAGTCTTGCTCTCATGTTAGCGCTAACTCGCTACAAGCCCAACCCAGATGAACCAGCTGGAAGGCAGCAGGATGCAATTTGAAGTCTGGGATTTCTGCTGCTGGCCGCGTCGTTGTTCCGTGTCACTGCATGCCTGCAGTAAATCCATACGTGCCAGGTTCAACTTGTAGCAGCGTGTCTATTAAGGAACGCTTAATGAGCTGAACTCATTAAAAAAAAAAGAAGAAAGGGGTATTTTGGAGAGACGGCATGCTGTGAAGCTCATAAATCAAGAGTTTGGGAGCACTACAAAGCATGATAAACTATCTCAACCTTGCCCTGATGTCATGAAGCCTGAGGAGATTATTTGGAGGTGTGTGTGCATGTGTGTGTCGGGGGGGAATATTAGAAAGCATCCAGTTCCAGAAAGAAGGAGGATTCAGCACTGAACACTAAAGGAGCGTTTCTCTTGTGGTTCAAACCAGATCCACTCCATTTCGATCACCTGACCCCTCCGGGACGCTGAGTGTGTGCGCGGCGTAAACAGGAAGCAGAGGCTTGGTCGCGTTATCATGAGATAAACACTAGATAGGGTGTCAAATGCCATAGAGCTGAACAACAAGATATAATCAGTCTGCGAACATAGTTGAGGCATTTGCTGTCCAAAAGCTGGAATGGGCCCTATGAGGCCCACCGAGAGACACTTGCAGCTACAGCCTTGAAATAAAAACACAACTCATGTCAGATCTTTCTGATGCAAAATGATTTATTTGAAGATAAAAAAAAAAGAAGATGGAAATAGGTATGAATGCGCTAACTGACCCAAAGCAATCAGTGATAGTAGACCAAACAACAAGTATCAGAAGCAGCGTCTCAGACACAGATGGGAGAACTTCCTTCCACCAACAAATATACTAGAATCAGCAACACTGGAATAAACACATTGTTTTATTTTATAAAAAATTTTTTTTTTTTTTTTTTTTTTTTAAACAGCACTTCTAAAATCCAAATGCGTTCTCATCAATATTTTTGGTATTTTGGTGCATCATTCACACCAGCCCTGTTTAGTCCGCTTTAATCAAACGCTAGTTTGTTTGCCCAGAAAGTCCGATTCATTTGAGGAGGTGTGAATGATCAATTGGACTCTGGTCCGCCTACAAACCTAAGCAGAGATTCAGTCGGAGTGAACTCTGGTGCGGTTTAAATGCACATGTGAAATCCAAGCACGAAATGGGCTACTGCACAGGGCATTCTGGGCAAGTACAACCAAAACAATTGTGCACATTTAGTGCTAGCAAAAGAAGTGTCTCTTGATCTTTTACCAACGATAAGACATTTCCTATGATAGCTAAAATCTGACGCTACTCCATTTTTGTTTACATTTTGAGAAGAAGGAAGTTCCGTTCATGTCTTCTTCTGAGGTTTAATGTTTCCTTCAGTGGTTCATGGTTCAGCGCCACGACAGGTGAGGGGGTAAGCATGTTTTTAAGAGGTTTTGGTTCATTTGACAGTGCAGCGTGGAAACGAGCCACACCAGCTAGAAATGGAACAAATGTTTCACCTTTGGTCCCCAATTTAACAGAGTCTATTGGATCATCAAGTATACAAAAAAACTCCCTAAATTAATTTTTTAGGAGAACCTCAAGAACCCCGGCTTCTATATTTTGTAATCACCTAAAACACGTAGGACAGTAGGTCCTACAGAGAATTGAAAACCTCTCATCAAGATAATGACACAGGAAATAAAGTCTGGAAATCCAAACTTTTCTTTTTCATACTTATCTAGACTTAGAAAACACGTCAATCTAATCCAATACTTTTCCAGATTGCATAGGAGCCCTGGTAAGAGCTCAGCCTGCATTTGGTTTCTACAAAAACTCCATTGGCGAGGAAGCAAAGCATCACAAGAAGTATGTTGCAGAAACATGAAATGAGAAACAATGCTTTGGGAATTTATGTAATGATTTGTAAATGTGTTTTATTTTTGCATCAGCTGGATGCTAAAAATGGTTGCCGGTAAGCACATTCCCAGACTTTGAGGAATAAACGAGAACACATTCAGTTGTTGACAAACTCTTTCAGCTTTTAGATGACTACTACATAACTACTGTCTTTATAAAACACTAAAAGTATTTCCGGAAGAGACCTTCAATCACTTTAATAACTATGGAGGAGCTGTGCCAGTCTGAACATACTCCCACTTCAGTCTGCGCAGTGAAATGTGACGGCTCTTACTGATGAAAGAGAAATCACAGAGACGAGCGCAGCAAATGCTTAACTTGGTTGCCAGGTTTGCATGCGTTTCAGCTGAGAGGCTGAGTGCCTGCTGATGAACTCACCGAATGCACAAATGGACACAGCAGTTCTTCATGTGGCCAAAAGAACAACAGTGTTTAACTCACCTAAGATTAGTGGACAATGCAATAGATCAGAAGTAGTGGTGGGCACTCTTCTGCTAATTCGCCAACAGCAGAGTAAATTTTTTTGTTTAGTGCTTTAGCTAACTTTAAAAACATTTAGCTAAATCCTAAAGCGCTAACTTAGGCTGCATTCACACTACCCCCATAAGTGACCCAATTCCGTTTTTTTTTTTTTTTTTTTTTTTGACGTAATGCGACCTGTATCTGATCTTTTCATGACAGTCTGAACAACACCGGTCGGATTCTTTGCGAATGCGACCCAGGTCACTTGGGTATCCAATATGTATCCGATTCAAATGTGACCAAACGTTCAGGTCGCATTCATCCGACCTGAATGTCACCAATACTCAACAAACCTCACTATTCTGCGTCCTGATGATATGCATCATAACAAAAACATAATAGTTTTTGCTTTGCAAAAACTCTGTATATTTATGGAAAAATAATATTTTTAGGAATCTTTTTCATAAATGTACATTTCAAATGTCTTTCTTGAGAGCAAAGAATAACCAAAGTCAACTTCCTTGCTTGTGTGCACAAATTTGGCCAATAAAGCTGATTCTGAGGAGAAGCCAAGAAGTTACTTCTGTCCAACAAAAACAGTGAGGACAAACTGAATGTCTTTGGGAAAACAAGGATGAACCGCAGGAGAGTGGTGCAAAGTTATTTTCTTTGATGAATCCTCCTCCTCTCCATTTCTTTTCTCTGGACAGGAAATTGTGAGAGCTAGCACTAGCTCTGATTAAACTGCCAACACCCCCCCAAAAAGGCTGATTTTGCCACACTTTTGGCTGCAACTGGATTTCTACGATTTGTGCTGAAATGCTTGAAAATGTGTATTTCCAAGCTGAACCTCAATAATCTGGATTATGCTGATTTTATGAAAGAACCATTACCTAAAAGAAGTGCTCTGTAAAAAAAAAAAAAAGGCACCCAACAGAAACTGAATTCGCTTCATTCCATTTCCTAATACGAGGAGTCGCATTAGATGTTCTCACCATGACTTAATGTCTGAAATCTCGAGGAAAAAAAACGGCCGGTTAATGAGCCACAAATTAAAGAGTGGCTGCCAAATTTTATCTCTACTTCTGAGCAGAAGGAGAACAGACAAACAGACGCATATGTGTTTGTTAATCGATATAGCTGTGGAGAAACTTTTGCCTTGGAGCTGCAGAATCGTCTTCATGAGAAATAATGACTCGCCTCTTTCACTTCCTCTGGGTTTGTATTGTGATTGTTGCTGCCTAAAATGACTGATTTCGCAGCACCGTTTTCAAAAAGTTTCACATTTTCTTTAGATTATTTTTGCTGCAATATGTTCTTACAAAAAAGTTGATATTGCTGCACATAACCTTCCCATTACTTCTCTGTTTCCCATTAAGTTGAAGACCCAGCATCATCAGGACGATGATGCTGGCCTTTGGTCTCCTCCATGACTGTTTGCTCTTTCTATTGTGACAATAAAGATTTATTTTAAATATGTGGAAAGCAACCATGAGCACAACTTCTGTACAAGAACTTAAGAGGATTTGGTTTATTCCTGGCATTAGTTAACCAGCAAGGGATGTAAAATGATCAACCTCCTGTTTCACAAATTGAAACAGGAAGTTAAATTCATAGGGGGCAGAGGGGACTGGTCAAAATTCAGCCAAGTTGCTGTGATTGGTCAAAAGAGAAGGAAATACAGAAAACATGAAGGTGAATGGTCGGCTTTACGGAAACGTTGTGATGATTTGCAAATGTTTGCGTTGATAGCTGCGATCACAGCTTCATGGAGGGATTGCTGTTTCATCATAAGTAAGCAATCTAAAGCTGGTGAGCTCTGAGTGGATTTGATAGAAGAAAGTTGATTCACACAAAGGGAATCCAAGCTTACCCATGATCCAAGAACCTCCATAATGATCACACTGATCCTTAAAAAACTAAAAGCTCCCTCACTTGCAAACTTCACCTGTTCCTGAATACAAATTGTTTTTAGGCTTTTACGAAAAGTCTACATATTCCAGACAATTTGTCTTGGCTTTAGCAAGTGAAGCTGGTTTTATTTTTCCAGAATGCAGAGGATTCCTCCATTATTTAATTGGATCAGTGAGAACAACTCAACTGCCTACTAAGCATAAAAAACCCCTTTAAACCATCTGTCTCATAGAGCGTTGGATCCAGTTTGGCTTGGAGGCGTGAACTCTGCTCGACCCTCGAAGGTGCGCCATGGTATCTGGCACTAAGATGCCAGTGCTTACATTACCCCATTTGCCCTCCTTCTAACCCACACAGAACATCCTGCCCACTGGTAGGTGCCAAGATAAAAAAATAAATAAAAATTTTGCAGGTTTCCAGTAAGGAGTCATAATAATGCCTGATTAGTATAAGCCGTTTTAAAGCTTATAAAAACACATAAGAACGAACAAACTGTGTAAGATTATTGGCATAAATGAAACAGAAAGCCTTATTTCCACTCAACCGTTTATATGATTATGGGGAAGTGAGCTGGAACGGTGGGACTAAGCAGCCGATGGAAAACGATCCTGCTTTTCCCTTCGACCACACACTTCCCGTCTCTCCCGCTCCCACTCCTCCATCCCCGTCGTATCTCTGTTTCTCCCACGTTTGCGTTAACCTCGGCCTTCCGGCGTCCTCCATCACTGTCCTTCCTCCGGACGGTGGGATTTGCCCCCACACCGCCCCCTCGTCCCCCAACGGGCCCGATCTCCCAACACAGTGGGAACAAACGATTTGTGTGACAGAGAGAAAAACCGTGGCAACAGACGGAGAGGGGTGTGGAGGGGGGTAAAACTCCTTGTGGAGCACACTGTCTGTAATAAAGGACATTCTCTCAGGCAGCAGGAGCCGCCCCTCCCCCCTCCTCCTCCTCTTCCTCAACCCACCTTTTATTCTCCTGCTGAACAGAGAAGGGCTGTTTCTGCCGGTCACTGTCCTCCTCTTTTGCGCAACTTTCCTCTCCGTTTCAAAGCAAACTGCAGCTCTGATTAACTCACATTTAATTTAGGACTGAAATTCACTTAGCTAAATCACCCATTCATGATGCCCTAACTGCATTAGGGAGATCTAGAGGAGCTTTCTTTCACCGGGGGTTGTCGGGTTCATCTCTTCTGAACACTGGGAGTGTGCCTTTTTTTTTTGTTTTGTTTTTCTTTACAAATCCCCTACGCCTCACCTTCGATCTGTTAACCGAGGCTCTGGAGCCGCATCCTGCTTACACGGTGTTACGTAACAGGGTCTGGTGCCGCTAACTGGTTTGAAGTTTGTCCAGATGGAAGGCTCACAGAAACTTCCTTGTGCGGCGGCGGCTCCCCGCAGACTGCTGGGATTGGTGGCAATCTGGGAGCGTTTTCAGAAAAATCCTGGCAACGTCGACGGAGGGAGGAACAAACTCCTTCGCAGGAGACGCCGTTGCACAGGGTCAAAGGGGGATTAGAGGAAGTGATGTAACCGTGAGCCCCTCCATCCAGACTGCGTTTGAGGGGTTAAGAGATGCGCAAATTGCAATAGCAGGATGCTGACGTTGCCGTTTGATTTTTTTTTATTTTTTATTTTTAACGACGTGTTCAAGGGCCCATCTGGCATCGATTACAGGATATATCAGAGTAAACTAATGATCCGAGAGAGGAACGCTCCAAACACACATCACAGATGAACAGAGTTTTACCTCCCAACAAACCAAACAGCTTCAGATCGCACAATCCGTCAAGGAACGCTGGCTGGTTGCAGTGAACAAGGGGGAAAAAAGTTATATATTTTTTTAAACTTTTGCCTAAATAAACACTTAGCCCAAACTCTATCCTCATTACCACACAGCAAACACTCTGAAGCATGCTGATTGCATCACACACACAAAGTCGATTGCCTGTAATGACATCCTGTTGATGAACTCAACCTTCACATCCAACCGATCAACACTTCTTCTGTTTACCTTTTCTTAAGGCTACAAGGGTGTAGCTGTCCAGTCCATTTTATTTCTTAAAACATCTGGACTTAAATCTGCTCACACAACATGGAAAATTGGAGCTTGAGTAAAAACGGTATTCTAGGGACTTTAAGGAGTAATCTAGTTCAGAAATCTAACATTTCCATAGGGAAACGTATAGAGATTCAAAGGGAAAACGACTATGCACACATACACTCATGTTCGAGGAGAATTTAGAGAGAACAACTAACCTAACCGTGATGTTTTCAGGCTGTGGGAGGAAGCTGGAGTATGCAGAGATCTAAAATGTTAGATATCAAATCTGGTTTGCATTTTTTTTTTTTTTTTTACAAAACTTGTGATTTGTGAAACATTTGGTTTGCTCTGATAAAAAAAGGAGGAGTAACATTCCCAAGAGATGTACAGATAAAAGTGTAAATTGGTTGATGGTTGGATTTGTCTGTTATCATTGGTTGAAAACTAAAAAATCCTAGCCTTTTTTCCAGCCAGTCAATGCACCACCGGACACCCAAACCCTGTTATTTTTTTTTTTTTTTTTTTGCAGACATAACACTCTTCAGTGTAGTAGTGATAACAATGTGAAGAAGACTTAGTTATCCGCTAATATTATATATATAATTGTAATAAAACCTTTTTTCCATTTTATAACAAAAAAAAAGGAATGACTGCTCGCTCGCTCACAAAGTGTGACTTCATCTTCACTCAACATAATGAAGAATTACTCATGTCAGAAATTAGTCAGACAAATATTTTAAGTGGGGTTCTTTTATCTTTTTATATAAAAATCAGGAAATCTAAAGCTTAGTTAAAACAAATACGGATGCACTTCAAAAATGTCCCCTTTGTGTTTTTTTTTCCATTAATCATAGTTTCATGTGAACTCTGTAATTATTGTAAAAAAGAAAACACCCCAGTTCAGGTTTGTCTGGTCAAAGACCTGGGATTCCAAGCATAACTGCCCCGATGTTGAAGTGGCTAAAATACCGAAAAGCACTAAAATCGCATTTTTTGTGTGTTTTCGCGAATACGGTTTTCTCACATCACAAGCTGTGTTTTTATTAAAATATTCCGTACTGACTGTAGAGCAACTCAATCGAGTTTTTTGGGATTGTATACCTTGAACTAGTGTCCATTAAAAAATAAACAAACTAAAATGCTGAATTGGGTTTTAACTGGCTTACCTGGGTCAGGTCCTGGTCGGTCAGCAGATGCAGCTCCCTCGGTTTGAAGCAGTTTTGACATTTACTTTTATTGAAGAAGTTCGCTTGAAATTTCCTACAAGTATTTTCCTTCGCGGCAGACATTATATTTTAACACTTATTGAAAAAAACAAAATACGAACTGGGGTTAGCTTAATTTCCCAAAGACCTTGAAGTTGTAATCCCGCTGTTCTCCTGTGTGTCCCACCCCCCCTTATCCCGAGTTGGAATAAGCTCCAGCGCTCCGACGCATTTTCAAGTAACAAACGCAGTTTCGGGACTTCAGCATCCGCAACAAACGTTTCCTTTTCGCCGCTTAAACTGTATCCAGTTGCTGCTTTCCGGATAAATAATTAGCTGCCATCAAGCCAGCATTCTCAGCACCCAGCTCAGTGATGAATGCTTTCCAGTCCCTGGCCTGCAACCACAAAGAGAAGAGGGGAGAAGGAGGCTAATATCCTGTTAGCTTCCCAGTGGATCGCAAGCTTAATAGCGGGATGGCGAAAACCACAATAGCGGCATTCGCGCAATTGCTGCCCGTGAACTGCAGGCGGGTAGAGTCCATTCACCAAAGCGGCGTTCCGTGAGCTCCAAACCCAAAGAAAGGCTTACAGTCAGGCAGAAAACTCCAGACCCATCCGCAGCAGTCGCTCCATACGAAGTTCATCCAGTGCTCCTTAGCCCCCGGTTAGCGGTTGAGGCTAGCAAGCTGATACAACGCTGCTGAAATCCTCTTCGGGTTCGCTTCTTCAACTTTACTTTTTTTCCTATTTTTTATAACGCCGAGGGTTTGAAGGTCCAAATGTTAAAATGTTTTCCTCTCGGGTAAAAACACTGCAGGCGGACAAACCACTTCTTAGCCAGTCATAACGGAGAAAAACGAGTATTTAAAGGTTCGGTTCCATAACTAGCCTCCTTGTAGCAGCAGCGGGTTTATTTTCTTCTTTCCCAGTGGAGCAAGGAGGAGAGGAGAGGTGAACACACACAAGCTCCGGGAATTCCAAGGGATCTCGCGATAACTGCACACTGCTGCCACCCACAGCCGGAGCAATGTCACTGAAATATTTCGATGTGTTAAATCAAATTAATCACATTATCTCCGTAAATGTGTATTTTATTTGGACTTAATGTGATAAAGTTGATCACATTTATGGATTTCAGGAAAATGTAAACTGGTTCATATGTGAACAAAGTGGGCAGCCATAAGCTATGAAATAACTATGTTAAAATTTGTTTCTTTGCTTATATATTTTAAGACAAACTTGATGCAGTCTTCAGCAAACTTTCTTTGCTTTTACAATGTTTGATTTGTTCATACTTTTATATTAAATTTTGCCAATGAGAAGAAAAAAGTTAATATGTGGTTTCAGCTGTGTATGGTTACTGAAGTGGTATTTAAAAACCAAGTTGCTGTTTAAGTATTATTTGGATTTGCTTGTTTTAAACAATGTTTCATCAAGATTTGACGTGTGTATGTTCACTGTTATCAGTTAACTCCTTAGTCATAATAACTAGTTATAATGGAGTGAGCCTATTAATCACATTTTAAGAATTTGTTGTAATCATTAACCAGAAACCAAAATGACTCAGCAGGAAATAAATAATAATAAATGTAATTTATTTATGGAAATATTTCAAATGATTAAATATAAATATGTACATTTAGACGCGTGGAAAAATCGAGGATTTTATTAATTTATTTTTAATTATTTTTATTTTGAATCCCAGAGTCTTTAGGTTTTTTTAACCAACTTCTTAATACCCCAAGCAAGGAGTGGAGCTGACACCCAAACTTGTGCCTCCTCTCTTCAAGCTGGCACCAAGAGGGCATACTTCAGATACTTTACACTGCATGCGTGTGTATTATTGCCTGACTCAAGGGGAGGCTATTATAAGCAAGGAGGTGTGGGGGGGGGGTCCAGTGTAGAGCACTTAATCAGACACAGAGAGGAGCGGTACCGTATGAATGGGCGAGGGGGAAGAGAAGGGCCTCATTTACGCGACTCAATCCATAAAAGAACAACAGCCAGCCAGTCCTGCTGAAGGATTAGCTCCCTGTCCATGCTGTAAGTGAACCAATAATAACACAGATTACAGGTCTTTGTGTCTGTTGGTTGGTTGCTATAGTTGTGCATGCACAAGCCGACTAACCTTAATCATGTGTCAGTCCAAACAGGTAACTAAGCAGGGAACTGGATCTGTGGAGCGATCAGGAGATTTCAGTGTGGATTAACCTTTATCTTAACCTGTTTCCACTTGTTAGATTGGACGGGAAAGGTTGGACATTTAAACGTGAATCTCTCCGGCTGTGGCCTTTAGGGTGTCCTATGACAGTGTTCCAAAGATGACAGTCTGTGGAGCCTCCAAGTCCAGAATATATTTAGCCGTTCACCTCATTTCACATGGAAACTATATTACCGAGAAGTCCAAATGCAAACCCTCATGTAAGTTGAACATGTTTGTTGCAAGTTTAGTCAAGAACACAAAGAGAAAATGCAAATGCATTCACCCAGTGCATTATAACCTAGTTCAAAATCACCCAGTTAGAAAACAAATAGCTATGTTAAATTTGGGATTTTATAAACAAAGCTTTTTAAATACCAGCAGAAGAGTCATGTATGTTGTCATGACGATGCCGTCTTCTGCTTCCTGAAGTGACCAAAAGCTGCTTTGAAATGCAAATGTGTCAGTTCCCTAAACTGGGAGATGACCTAAATATCCTACCCTTTATAGCCCTGAGCCGACACACATGAGCCGTTTTATAGCCTCAGTTTCCCTGTTTGCTAATCTGAGAATATCAGAAGTAAGGTTAGTTGTAAGCAAATGTATTCTTGGTCGAACATATTCTCACAAAGTGAACATTTTTCACACTTTGTCCCACCGCTTTACATTAATGTCCTTATTATATGTGATAGACAAACACAGAATAGTGCAAAACAATTCATGGTTTTGAAAATCATGTACATTGTGAAAAGTGTGGCATACATTTCTATTAAAGACTATTTACTTTGTTATCGCTACATAAAACTAAGTGCAACAAATTGCATTCAGAGGTCACCAAATTAGTAATCACAGCCTGTTAATACTTTTGCAAGTTCCTGTAGGTAAGACATAAGGACAGCACTGGTGACTGTTTTCTCTCAAATTAATTTCTAAATTAAATAACAATACAAAAAGAACCAAGTTAAACAAACTAGTTTCATATCTTGTTAACTCAGCCTGTTGACCTAGTGTCAAGCTAACAGGCACTTTTGAACTACTACCACCATTATAAATCAGCAAAATGAGACGTTGCTGATCGCCTTTATCATGTTGACCAGTTTTCAAAACCATAAATTTGTATTGGACTCTCCCAGAGAAAATTTACAACAAACAGAAACAAGAGATTACAGGTATATTATTGTGGAGTGTTTGAACAAGTGAAAATAAAGTTGAAGTGCACAGTTGCATCCTGAATTTCCCCAAGAGACAATAAAGAACATTTCCATCAATCTACTGTTCTCAGGGACAATTAACTAAGTGAGTTTAAGCAGAGACTAAACATTGTCAACAATGAAAGCATTGGGGATTGCTTGAAGAATGTGATCAAGTGTACCCAGGACCTATGACCCAGGAATGATCAGCCAGGTGATTAATGCTGGGGAGGTTCAAACTCTAAGACCAGTCTGAGTTTCAAGTGACTACTCAAAGGAAGGTTACCAAGCAGACACTATAAGGACAGGTAGTCACTCAGCAGGAATGCAAAGGGAGAAAAAGGTAGACTTCCAAGAAGACATAAAGAGACAGGAATCTAAGTTTTATGAGTGTACAGAAGAAGGGGGAAGAATCTCCTTAGACACTGCGACCAGAGTCAAACAATCTGGCAAGGAACTATCTCACACACTGGTCTTTCTAAAACAGGGATTTTGATGGACACATGAAATACAGGTGAGTCAGTGGAGTCCAGCGTATCTCCAGACAGTGTCAGTGCCTGGATTGCACAATTCCTCAAATGCTTTTCAAAGGTCCACTGATTTGATGCAATCCAATGTCGACTCACACTAATTTACAGCAGCAAACAAAGAGCCTCCATTACTGTATCAATGTGCTTTCTCTGACTCACAAGGGTTCATGAAGTTCAAGATAAAGAGCAAACTTTGATGATTAGGTTGTCCTAGTAGCAGTTGAATTCAGACTTGCTTTTTGTGTCAGTAGCTGACTATGTGTTTGACTTGACCAACAAACTGGAGTCTCCTTCACTGACTCCTGTTCTTTTCTTCTCTGCAGAACATGGGCCTCCCCTCGGTGATGGTGTTGCCCCTGCTAATAGTCGTGGCAGCAGGGGTGTACTACATCTACAACGAGATCTTACAGTTCATGTCCAAGACCTTAGTGCGCAACAAAGTCGTGGTGATCACTGATGCCGTCTCAGGAGCGGGAGCTGGTACTGTTCAAAATACTTGACCTCACTTAAGTCCTACGAAAATGTATTTCTGCCAGTTGCAACGCACTGTCACAGATTCAATGAATTGATATCAGAGACATGACACCGTATGTTTAGTCATGGAATTATGAATGTAGCAATCGTGTTGCCAGGCTCGGCACACAACAAAATCACTTGTAAAGGATTGTATTGTAGTCACGTCAATTACCGTTTCCAGGACTTGTGTTTGAGAGCAGTTGCTTTACAAGTTTGGGTGAAGCCGTCTGGTTGCCCAGACTGTGTGGTGAACTCTCTACAACACTATTTGGCCTGCCAGGTCATGCAGTTGCCTTAAAACCTCCGTTGTTTTCAACATTGAGCTAATGTCACATTTCCATGAAATGTCTATTTCATCTATCAGGAATCTTTCGTCTCTGTTGATCTCCAGTTGCTGTTCTTATTGACTTCAGATGCTCTGGCAACTACCCGATAACACTTTCTTTCCACTCATAAGACCTCCACTCACTCCTTTCCTGTTCTCGTTTCAGATGTGCCAGCTCCTTGTAAATCGAATCACATGCACAACCAGAGCTGGTCCGCATGTGTACCAAATTATGTCTTTTTGGAAGTCAGACTTGGTGCTTAAGGGTTTTTCCTTGATAGAGGAAGGTGAAAAAAACTGAATAATTTCTCTTTTTTTCCAGTTTTATGCTAAGGGCTCCATGGTGCAGCACTTGGTAGCACTGTTGCCTTGCAAAAAGAAGGCTTCGTGTTTGAATCCTGACCTGGAGTTTTTACTGCTTGAAATTTCCATCTTTTCCCCAAGCATTCGTGGGTTTTCCCAGGGCACTCCAGCTCCCCCAAGCCCCCAACAGTCCAAAATCATAACTATTAGGTAAATTGGTCTGTCTAAATTAAATCATATCGACAATGGATACTCTTATGCTAAGCTTTTATTAGCATTCAATTGATTCAAACTTAAAAATGGTTCCTTATATTAGCACAAAAGTAAATATAAAATTTTTTCTTTGTATTTTGTCATATGGGTAAATGTTCAAACAATTTAGTTTGTAACTACCTGGATGCTGCGCTATGCTAATTTCCAGGCTAATTCTTTTCTTGTCTTGTTTTCTTTCAGTAGGAATAATAAATATCTACATTTTGAAAAGGAATGTTTGTTTCAATTTCACAGAAAACACAGATATTTGTTTTCATGACTGGTTTTTAGACGCTCCATTAGATGTAATCCTTGTTGAAACAAGTTTAGCTAAGGCAGTCAGCAATTGTTCTTTTTTGCGCATATATTTGTCTAAATAGCATGTTCTTGTTGTGTTCTTCAGAATGTGCCCATCTCTTCCATAAGGCCGGTGCCAGACTCATCCTGTGTGGAACTACCTGGGATAAGCTGGAATCCCTGTATGACTCTCTGACTACTGCCTCTGATCCAAGAGAGGTGAGGAAATGAAAGGAGGACCAACGGTACATGCCAGAAAGTGTGTCACTTCAGGTTCTTAAGATGAATCATGCTCCTTTTTAACTGTACTGAGCCATTTGATTGGCACAGTCCATATGGGAAGCTACCCAGGGCAGCATGAGCGCCAAATCTGTGTGCTGCCCTGTGACGGACTAGCAACCCGTCCAGGGTGTACTCCGCTTCTCGCCCGATGACTTCTGGAGATAGGCACCAGTCTGCCCACCACTCCACGCCCACACTTACAGGAAGAAATGGGTATGCAATGGGTGAATGGGTGAATGGATAAATGCGACTTAATTGAATTAGCAACCACAAACCTCAAAAGATTTTATTGAGACTTAATGTGGTAAACCAACACAAAGCAAAAAGAAAATGAGACATTGTTTTTCCAGTCTTACCACAAATTTTCAAATTAAATCTAGATCTGAATCTTATGTGGGCACTTCTAATCCATAGATATGCTTTGACTTAAACCTTCAAAGTAGCGTTGGCTGGATGTTTTGGGCCGTTGGGTCTACCTTTTGCGACCTCCAGCAGACCCCAGTGTACTGCTGGCTTTCTGTAAGGTGTGTGACAGCTCCGCAAATGGCCCATGGATATCAGAGTCCGTTCTTGTTTTGATCAGAAACCCCTTCTGTCACCGCCTCTCAGATAAACACTTCCTCTGCTCAACACAATGGAAGGATATCCTGTCTGACAGCATGCTGTCCTCATCTGTCTCTTCGCTTACACACACCACTGCACATGGAGCGTATGGCCAGAGAAAGTTTAGATAGCTGTGCGGGCGACACAGAGCCAATCAGTATCGGTTTATCATAAAGGATGTTTTCTTTTCTGATAGCTCGGTTATCCTTTCCTGTCCTTCTGTGCATGCGATCCAAGTTTCATTCTGTATTCGTGCAGAATTGGAATAAATCATTTATTCTAGGAACGTGTGTTATCTATTACAAAATATTTTTGTGGGGTATTTGTTTTTTTAATAAATACCCTGCATTTTCATCTTTTAGACTCGCAATCAATTATCCATACCTTACAAAGTGCCACTTGTTTCCATTTAGACATTCGCCCCAAAGCTGGTGATCCTGGATTTCAGTGACATGGACAGCATGGAGGATGTGGTGGCTGAGGTCATGGAGTGCTATGGCTACGTGGATGTGCTGATCTGCAACAGCAGCATGAAGCTGAAAGCCCCCGTCCACAGCGTCTCTCTGGAGCTGGACAGAAACATCATGGACATCAACTACTTTGGTCCGAGCAGCCTCGCCAAAGGTGAGTGGCACGCCGTTACAAATCCAGCTTCAGGTTGGGTGTAATCAGTTTTAACTGTGGCTTGTAGACTGGCTTTATCTCAACGGTAAATTGTGGCAGGTGTTCTTCCGGCGATGATGTCAAGAAGATCAGGACACATTATACTGGTCAACAGCATCCAGGGCCGACTGGCGATCCCATTCAGAGGCTCGTGTAAGTTGCCAGCTAAAGGTTTCGGCTCCAGACTGAAATAAGTCAGAGTTTACATCTGAGGGAAAACATTGTAGCTACCTGTGACACAAATGGTGGGAGACATTTCACTCAGATTAGATGAGACCAAACTTGAACTTTTTTGGAATACTTGGAAAATACTATTTGTAGGCATTACCCTACAGACAATGGAACATGGCGATTGCAGCATCATCCTGAGCTGGGATGTTACTGTGGGAAAGTCTGTGGCAAGATCTGAATAATTCCCAATCTGATTGACAGTAGCTGTGTGCCAACATGCGAAGTCAACAAAGCAAATAAACAAAATCAATATCTGGATTTGCAAAGCTTGTAGAGACGGTTTTAAACATTGATTTACAAGGTATTAAAGTCTCTATCTATCTATCTATCTATCTATCTATCTATCTATCTATCTATCTATCTATCTATCTATCTATCTATCTACCTACCTACCTACCTACCTACCTACCTACCTACCTACCTACCTACCTACCTACCTACCTACCTACCTACCTACCTACCTACCTACTTAGGGATGTTAAGTAGCTCTGCATCGCTAGCTAGTTATGTGGTGGCTTTTTACATCATGGTATACCAAAGTTTGAAAGTTATTATTTTAAAAGGATCACTTATATGACCATTAGATTTTTTTCCTGACTACAAGGACAAAAATGGAACACCCTTGGAGTTTAGAAAGACAACACTGCTTTTTATAAGTTATCTAGCTAATTCCAGGGCCCTCTGAAGTCACTCAGCCTTCAGGAAATGTCTCTTCAGGAAATGTCTCTCAGTCTGGTCCACTGCTTCTATACTGTGACAAGAACTCTGATGCTAATAAAATGTTTGTTTTTTTTTGCTTTTTTTCATGGCTTTCCTTCAGGCAGGTAAATAATGTTGGCTAATTATTACTTTACAGATTGTAAAAATGCATGAAAAAGGTAATGAAGGCCAGGACCTTTCGTTACTTCCTACAGCCAAAACCATTCTTTGTTCTGTCTTTAGTTTCTTTTCATTGCTGTAAATAAATCAGAATACAGCAGAATAATAATAAAACATAATCTTTTGCTCTATAATAATTTGTTTACACTCTGAAAAATCTCCAGGTTGCTCTCAGTCCAACCAGAGTCGATTAGATTTTAAGTGCCGTCACTTCCTCATTCGTAGCATTTAGTTACTGTGTGTCTCGTAACCAGAGCCCTAGACCTGAGGGCTTCCACAGATGAGGCAGAAAACAATTACACAAAGAATGCGGTGCGTAATGAATGGAATGAGACTCTGCAGACAAGCTTGGGTTGCTACATGTGTTGCGTCTGCTGACAGATGCGGCCTCCAAGCACGCGGCGCAGGCCTTCTTCGACTGCCTAAGGGCAGAAGTGGAGGAGTATGGGATTGTTGTCAGTACCGTCAGCCACACCTTCATCAACGCCTCTGAGCCGCCACCCGCCGTGGAGCCAGCTCCAAAGCAAAATGTCCTAACTGATTGTGAGTATGACGCAAACCAAAAGGCATGACGCAGATGTTTGCATTACATTTACATTACTCTTGGGATGAGTCTCGATTGGTCTGTTCCCCCAAAGATATCACCAGCCAGCTCACCCACGGTGTGAGGCCTTCGGTCCTGGCCAATGAGATTCTGGAGACGGTGAACAGGAAGAGGAAGGAGGTTGTGCTGGCCCACCCCATCCCCAGGGTGGCCCTCTACCTCCGTTCCCTCTTTCCTCCCTTTCTCTTCGCTGTGCTGGCGGCCAGAGTGAAGGACTCCGTGTTGGCAGAGCCGATGCAGTAGAAGAAGACGGGGGTAGATGTGAAATCAAGCAAAATATTGTTGGTCTTGAGAGTTTCACGCTGTTTTATGTTACTGCCTGACGCTTTCAGAATTATGGATTAATTTTGACAGACAACAATTGAGTGAATACATTAAAAACTACTGGGTTGAAAAGGACAAATTAATTTGGATTAATTTTATATTACTTTGCGATGCTCATTGAATGATCCAAACCTTGGGTTTGACTCAGCATGGTGGATTATGCAGTAAAGATTGGTAAAAGAGACCAACATCTACTTCTAAGGCAACCAAAGAGTTGTTTGAACCTAATAACTTTTATGACTGAGCAAGTAATTTTTATGTTAAACTATTTGATTGTCATTTTTAATTTAAGTCTACAATAGCAATCATCATTTATAAAAACAAAGACAACATTATGAGATCTTACAAGATCTTCATTGACAACTAAACTTTCTAGAACTTTCTTGGAACTTAACAGAAAAGAACCTGTGTGGCGTCATGGCAACAAGGAGGGTATACAACTGAAAATATTTTGCTTATGACAGTGAGAAAACTTAACTTAAATGTACGAATGAAGTTTGTTGCTTTCAGTCTTACAATTTTCTTATTTCCTCTGAGAATGTGATGCATCCAGAACAATTATCAACTGGTGAGATTTACTGACTTACTTGAACAATCAAGAACAACCAAGTAAAGCAGCCAGAAGGAATCAGCAAAGCCTGAGTGGTGGCATCATGTGCGAGGTGATAATGTTACCATTGGAGTGTCTGGGAGTCAAAACAGACAGTGAAGAGATAAAAGATTCCTTGTGATTTTGGTAAGAGGGATATTTTCTAACAATCTTCTTAAAGTAGATACAACAAAAATAATTTTCTCCACCATTAACCTTAAATGTCAAACAAAAAAAATCCAAATTTGACACTATATGCCTGACTCTTTCTGTGTTCTGGATCTAGAATAATTTACAGATCTCTTTTCCACAAAAAATCAGTCTTTTTTCAGTGATAAACATTTAGTTTATTATTGAGCAGATAATTTTTTAAAAATAAGAATTTCAGTGGCCTGCAAGTGTCTTTATCTTTATTGAAGTTACATTACTTTTTTCTGAATGTGCGATAAGAAATGGTCTGTTTTGTGATTACTTTCCTTTCTACTTTTGAAAGCAAAATTGTTAGGTAAAAGATAAAAGGTCAGTGAGTACAAATGAAGACATGACCTGAAATTTAAAAAAAATTATATATACTCAAAATGGCTGGAACAGAATCATCTGGATTGGACAAACTTTAATACAAACATCACAAATGCTGCAGGCAACAGGATAAGACATGCGAGCGTCTTCCTTTGATTTTGTAATCAAATTGGTTAAATTGCAAATATGAATTCTGTTGGAAAATTAAATATTTAATTTTCTTCATGTATTAACTTAAAATTGCATTATTATTACTACTACTTTCAGAAAAATCTTGTAATTCACAGACATGTCCACAAGATGGCAGCAACACTCATGACAGTTCTGCATGTTTTTTGAGGGGGAAGGTTTTCCTCTTCTTCCTTTGCCTTGTACTGGAGTGTTTCTTTTTATCCTGCACTGGGAAATATATACATAAAACTGAATAAATATTTCGATTGTTTTTAGTTATAACCTACTGTCATCTATTTTTTCCTCAAGATCTGCATTAAAAATAAATACATTCCCTGTAAAAACACATTCGATCTATAAAGCTGACACATGTCACAAACCTTGGTCATCTTTAAATGTAAAGTAAATTCAGCAGGTCCAATTGGGGAGTTTTCTGCTGCTCATGTATGTGAGTTTAGGGCTATGAGAGTGGGGGGTTGGTATCTAGTCCAGCTGGTAAGCGCGAATGTGTCCTCCAGGTCACTCTCCTCAGGGGATCACCTCTTTTGTCCCCGGGGTCCTCGGGACAGGAATGCTCCTCTAATGTCCACATGAATAAATGCAGCTCTGTGACATTTCCATGTGTCAAACAGGAAAAAAAAAATTAAAGAACTCTTCTGGATTCTCCAAATTGGCATTTTGATCAGACACATTTCCATATGTCACCATCATCACGCTGCGTGTGAGATGATGGGGCACCGGTCTGCCCCCACGTATGACTTATTGTTTAACAAGACTTCGCTGATAGTTGAAGAGCGCGCCCGTATCATGCGAGCCATGAAACTGTCAGATTTATTTCTGCTTGAAGGTAAATCAAACAGCAAAGCACTGAGGTGTGCAGCAGTATTAGCGAATGATCTAAGCCTAATAGTTTCTCTCAATCATCTGTCTGCACTCTTTGGTGAGTAATATGTAGATAAAGCCCAAACATCAGGAAGATGATTGTCCTGAAGTGATATCCAGGGTTGATGCTTACTAAATGCAAGACGTGACTTATAAATGGGAACGTCTGCTGCTCTGAAATTGTCTCACTGTGAGCAAAGTGATCACCCTTATCAATTTTTAAAGGCCAGGTTATTGACACTAACCTGACTTATTGAGGTTATGGAGAGGCCATGGTAATGATTCCCTAAGCTTTCAGTTACAGCACCAGAGGGGCCGCCTCTTGCTTTAAAATATTGGACGGAGGCAGGCTTTACTGCTCCAGTGAGCATTAGTATAATGTCTCCTTTGTCAATCCCTTCTTATTGCTTTGGATATTAGTATCCCAGCTTGCAACGTATAAATAAAAACTTGTTCTCTTCTATTTCATTTAGCCTGCACTTTCTGGACGTTTAAATCATTTTGCGTGACGTGATTAAGGTCATTTTAACCTTTTCCTAACATTGGAAAGCTAACGGTTTATTAGTCCGCCCACATGCTTAAGATGTCCATTTAACTCCCTAAATCTTTTGGAGTACTTTTAATGGAAATTATGTCAGGTGGTGGATTTATAGATCTTTGTGGACAGTTGTCTAGACAATGTGCAGTTTGGAAAGCCCATAATGGTACAAAGTTGGATGTGGGTGGGGCAAAGAAGTCTGACAGGTGTAATATGCTGATCTGAGCAGGATTGCTGGGTTCAGATGGTAAAGTCTAACAAAAGTTGCGACTACTTATCTTAATGGCTAGAGGAGCTACAGATTTGGAGTAACACCTAGAAGCAGACATATCAGGACCATGGTAGGAGTTCGTGTCATAATCAGTGGGTTGCCCACCGTCTCTCTTAGTCTATATGTCCTTGGGCAAGACACTTCACCTGCCTTACCTGCTGGTGGTGGCCAAAGGGCCCAGTGTGAAGCACTTTGAGGTCCTCTGAACTTGATAAAGCTCTAAACAAGTACAAGCCATTTACCATTTCTGAGAATTTAATGCAACACATCCATGTCCTGGCGGATCGCCTCTTCTTAGTCGACGGTTGTTTTCTGGCCAAAGTCAAAATTTGTGCATCTTGGTGTCTTGGTCACAAGCAATGGGAGATGGATAAATGTTTTTATAGTAAACTGGGAGGTGATGTCAGGGTGAAGAAAAAGGCTCACTCTCTCATTTTACTGTTCTGTCTGCGTTCCCAGCTCTTGTCTAAGGTAACGACGTATGGATTGTGACAGAAAGAACGTGATCCAAAACACAAAATGACACTCTAGTGAAGAGTTCCTGAGTCCATGGGGAGCCTGGAGAATCTAAAGGAATCTGTTCAGATGGTTTTAGGTATTTGATCAAGATACTTCCCAGGCACCTGTTCAGGGAGAAGCTTCCTGAAGGGAGAAATGTGTCTCTTCCACAACTCAAATTGTACATCCATATGGTTGATGAAGTTGGTACCAAACACAGCTCTTCTTCCTGACTATCCCAGCATTTACTGTGTAGACATGAGCAAAATCTAACCATAAAATGTACTTGTAAAGGCAAAAACTTTGGACAAAAACCATATTTGCCTTCTAAGCTATTCTTAAACAAAGTACGAGTTCCTTCATCGTATGAAATCCTTCAGATACTCTGCACACTGCAAACTAAAGTAAGAAAAGTTGACAAAGTTAACATCCTAGACTCTGCGTGAGATTAAACGGTTCTGTCAAGGAATAATCACAGCATCACATGTCATCGTGATTTTTTTTTTTAGTTGCAGAAGTCTTCCTAATCCCTAAATCTGCTGTAAAGATTACACATATTCAATCTTAAAGGAAACTTTTCCTTAATCTCTCACAAATCCTTGCAAATCACTGATCCGGCATGTCTCACGTTCCTTTACTTAAAATATCTCCCTTTACCACAATAAACGCATTTGGGAGAATAAAACTGCGCTGCCAGCTGGATTTTATAAGCTTTCACATTTAATCCTTTGGTTTTATTTCTTTTGGACACAAAACACACTAATGTTTCTAATGACCTTAAGATAGAGAGGGTCCTGAACACGCACTTATGTAACTATAGAGATTTAAATCAGCTTTGACAGTTAAATTTGTAAGCAAAAGTACTAAAAAATATATATAAAAAATATACTTGTATGAAAATAAGCTCAAATGCTGAACTGCTGTACCAAAAGAAATGGAATAGGATTAATTTGAGTGCAGAGCTTAGAGAAGTTTTTTTTTGTCTTCATGACGGATCTGTCTTTGAGTGTAAAAAAAATGTCCGCTGCCCTGTAGGAGATGTTAATAAAGTTTGAGGCTCTCCATCAATTGTCTGCCCATTGTCTGTCAATACAGTGGTGCTAACGTCAATGTCCAATGTCAGACACTGGGTCAATGTGTTGCCTTATTGTTTTTCTTATAGCCCAGACTGATTTTTAACCACTCAAACGGAAAGAACTCAGTCATTTCTTGATCATTGCAAAAGAATCTCGTAATCAGGACCAATTAGTAGGATGGCATATCGCATGGAGCTGAAACGCTACAGAAAAAGGATTATTTTAAAAGATGGGTTCTGTCAACAAGTTATGTGTAGCCAGTGTCTTATCTACAGCAGATAGGTTCTTATTTCTGTAAGAATACAGACAGACTGGTAGATAGTACAAGCAGCGCTAAGGCAAACATGGAGTTTTATCTTTACTTACAGTCACAAAAATGTTAATTTGGTTTAAGAAAACACTATTTAATTAACCCCTGCAATGCTCTTATGAAAGCAAGGCTACTTGCCCACTAACAATTTCTTTCTTTTTTGTTTTTGTGTCATTTTCTTGTTTTAGATCATCAAAGAAATGTTAAAAAATGAAACACAGACAATCTGACCAAATACAAAAAGCAGCTTTAAAGCAATAAATTCAACATCATTTCTTTATTAAGAGATAAAAAGCTTCACAAAGCTATGTGAATATTTCTCTCTTAAATCAACTTTTCTTCTTTGCTGAAGAAGTTATATCCTAATCTCATGAGGATATAACTCAAGACTTTGACTAGACTCTAAAACTCTTATTTTGTTTTTAGCCATTAAAAGGTGAGCTTGGTGTGTGCATCTGTCTGGATTGTCGTCCTGCTGCATAATTCAAAACTATCATCCGTGCTAAACAATCAGAGTAAAGTGATCGTACAAAAATGTAAATTTGTGTTTCAGAAATGTGCTAAACGTGTCCCACATAACTACATTCAGAGTATTTTGTTCTTCTAGCTGCTGCCTCCATCACAGAAAATCAACAAAATAACAACAAAAAGTGAAAATCACAAACGACTATGAAACCTGAAGCAGGTTGACACAGTGCAATGTGATATCGGTGCTGGTGGGCCACAGCCACCTTGCTAAGCATCGAGGTATTGAGTTCTGATGAGCCATCTCCTCCCTGTGCATATTATATGAGAGCTGTGGGAATCTAAATGCAACAATATTGACACTGTGCAATTAGGGAGGGGTCATTAGGTCTGGTGCTTTTATACAGGAGCTGCATGACAGGAATGCCGCCTTTCCGGGAATCAGGGCCGTGTCTACATTTGTTTTTTTTTGTTGTTGTTGTTTTTGACAGGGGCACAAACTGTACAAAGGGAGCACGCTAAAATTACAATTTCAACTAAATGCACTGCAGTTTTAAATTACAATTAAAAATGGGTCAAAACTTGAATGACAAACTATTTATTTAACCAAACAAATCACATGGATCTGCTCAGTAAGCGGAAACTATGCAGTAGATTTGTTTATTGCAGTGGATTAGGGAGCTAAGCGATTAGCTTGTTTAGCTTACCATAGCTTAACTGTATACAACTCTATTTTTAATGCCGCTATGCTAACTCTATGCAGCTAATCAGCTCAAGAGCCAAAATTATTGAACTGTTACAGACTACAAATTGCAAACAACTGTTTAAATACCCCTCTTGCCACTTCATGAAGAGATTTTTTGCCCAGTAATCTGAGGCTGATTTTCCCTATTATTACTTAACATCATCAACCTGCCATCAACTTAGAGATGGGAATTAGCCACTTGGCTATAATCTCATGTATTTACATGTAGATGTAAGTTAATGTGTGATGTCTCATTAATTATTATTTTTTAAATAATCAACAGTGGCCGTTGTTAAAGAACAAAAAGAGCATTTCTGTCATCGATCGTCAGTGTGGACAAAACGCTGATATGAGTATTTGAAACACGACTGATGACGATTTACTGACTTTTTAATCTTTCTGATTTTATTTTGTTTCTTCTTTTTCTTCTCTTGTCTGGATTTAATTGGTGATTCTGTGTATTCTTACACTAAAACTATGAAGCGTGGAAATAGTTTATGTGTAACAGATATGTAAATTTAGGCCCTTTCACCTTTTTTGATTCATGCAACACATGAACTATTTTTACTTGACTTTGTTTTGAATTTCTTTTGATTTATAGTTGGAGTGTTGATTGACTGCAAGAACAACAACTATTATTATTATTATTATTATTATTATTATTATTATTATTATGACTGAATGTTTTAAATTGAATAAACAAACTAAAACTAACAAACCGGTTGAGATTTCTGGTGGGGTGGCCAATCAGATTTCAGGGGTACCTGGCGACGCCCCTGCCGGGAAGATGAACCGGGACGTACAGAACAATCAAATAAACAGCGCCATCGTTCCCCGCCCCCAAAGTGAGGCTCACGCCCTCTCCTGAACCTCATCTTAATTAGAGCGGGGTGACAACAGGAGGAGGGCTGGCTAATGAAACAGAAGGGGCACCCAGGCAAAAAGAGGCCTCTAAAGCCTGCAGTCGCCGGGTGCCCTGACCCCGGATCAGGTCCTCATCCTCTCGGCAACGCTCAGGCCACCGAAACCACAACCGGTGGAGGCTTGAAGAGTGGCAGAAGCTTTTCAAATGACTTAATTGGATTTTTCTCAGAAAATAAGTGACTCTTCATAGAGAGTCGCCACACAATGCGGAATTAGCTTGCGTGTGCGGAGCGTGGCTGCCGTCGTCAGTAGGAGCCATGCCTGAGAGGTCATTTGCTCATCTAGAATGACCGGCACATCTGCTTTCAGGCCAGCTGAAATTAGCTCTGAACTTTGACTGGGTCATTCTATTGGGTACTAGGCTGCCTCCAAAAGGACTTTTTAGGATTTAAAGGATTTAACTGGCTGCTTACTGCATGTGGGGTTTGAAATTTAAATCTAGCAATGATGTAAAATTCAACTTAGCCGCATGTTGCAGTTCAAAATATGAAGACCGGTGGAATTCACTGTTGTTTCTGATAAAAGATTTTCTCTTTCACAGAGACTAAATATCTAAGTTTTCTATGCAAGGCAGCCATATTGAATTTTGATGATGAAGTTTTTGAGAAACGTGAATTTCACCAACAAGAAATGCGACCTGCAGGGACTTTTTCACTTGCTTTTGTCCAACTACACACTTTGAATTCAACTTCTGAGTAAAGGAACGACCAAGAAGTAATACGTTTTCTTTTATGACCTTCATAAAAAAAAAAAAAAACTGTACAAGACTGACACTGCACATCACTCTGAATCTACTATTACCTCAGTGAAGCTTGGTGGTGGCAGCAGCATGCTGTGGGGAATAGCTAGGACAAAAAAGCTGGTCAGAATAGATGGAAAGTCAGATGAAACTGAATACACTAGAATCCTCTGCAGCTAGGGTGTTCAAAGCAGGGACAGGGGACCATTTGCGGCCCCTGGAGTGATTTTGTGAGGCCCCCCATCAACAATCCATGAATAAAAAAGATTTGATTAGGACCAAACTACAATTTCTAAATACATCTTGCACACACACAACTTGACTAAACACAGCAAGTGTTTTAAAATAAAGACTGATCTACATCCCGTTTTTATATATATAAAAAATAAATAAAAAGTTTTTCAAGCCCAAAACAAAAAGCAAACGTGAAGGGCTTTCATTTAATAAGGAAAACATGCAAAACTATTCGATGTTTTGGATCCAGGTTCCCGTTCCAACAAAAACTTTGTTTAATTAAAATAGTTCATGATTACTTTAGTTGTTGAGTAGGTAAAAAAAAAACAAAACACATTTTGGTGACTTTAGTTTCTAAAAATGATGCTGTTTTTTGGCCCATGAATACTTTTGGTCCACGTGACAAAAGTTTTGACACCCTCGCTCTAATCAGGCTTGTCAGAAGCTGAACATGACTTTAAACTGTGGCAGAGGTTCACCTGTCAGCATAAGAACAGCTTCAGAAATACAGAATCTGTTTTCTTTTTATCCAATTCTGGATAACATCCAGGTTTTTAAGTAATTTTTTTTTCTGTTTAGCCTTCATATCCAGAGCTGTTTTGGTCAAAAGCTCGTACTTTCAAATAAAACTGAATTCTGCACAGAACCTGAAGCTGCAAATCCTTCCAAAAAGAAAAATATACAAACAAACAGCATCTCAATGTTGTACCTGCATGTATTTACAGCCACCCAGAAACAAAAGTCTGTTCTGCATGTAAACCTGCCCATCAGGTGGCACATGTGTGCTGCCTTACATAACATTTAAACACACACACAAAAAAACGAGACGCAGCGTCTCCTTGAAACAACCCACTTGACACTGCTTATAAAAGTTTCAATTTAGAGACTAAACGAGTAAAAATAAATAAATAAATCTGTTGCACAAAGACATCCATTCTCCTCTGGGAAATTGAAAAATTTGTAATCCACAAAGCCGGCTGAAGCTTACATTGTGAAATAGATGCTTTCAGAAACTGCGCGATCCATCCCCGAGACGAGGAGCGCGTAATATACTGGGAACTGATAAAGGTTGTCGATAACAAGGGGCCCCTGTTCAGGTTGCCGAGCGCAACACAGCGGCTTAGTGCTGGCAGGGGAAACATTAAGGCAAAATTGCATCCGTAAAACAAGTCTTCACCGGAGCACCTCATCAGGACGGAAGGTGAAACGGCTTTTATGGCACCCAGATTGCGTGTCATATCCAATTTACACACTGTCGCTTGCCCCTAACTCCTGCAGATTTATTCGGCCTAATCAAAGCCTCAGGTGCTTTTTTTGTTTGTGTGTTTTGTTTGTTTTTTGCAATTGTACCTCTTCACATCTTCACCTTAAACTTCACCTTAGGTTTCGGGGGATTTCAGAGAGACAGGGCGAGAGAAAAAAGGCATGGAAGGCAGGAATCCTAATTGTTCGCTAAGGAGATGTTTTGTTCTGTTGTGTGGGGCTCACAGCATTTTCTTTATGTCCTCGCTGAAAGGTCCAGTGTGCAATTGTGGGAGTGGATGCTAACAGGTCTCGGATCAGTAGTTCTGAAAGGAGCGGCTGGTAACTGTTGCGTTTCTGCTGGTCTCTTGATTGGCTGTGTTCGGCCGGCGGAAAGGAAGGGCTATTTTGGATTTGTGAATGGAGGGCATGTTGGGTAATCTCTGTGCGCCAGTCACAAGGTACGGGTGGAAAATGTGGAAAGTGACGCGGCGCCTGTAGTCAGAACCTGACTTTGTCACGGAAAGATATTCAAACTTTTGTTTTTTTCTTTCAGAGTATGTTTTGTACATCTAGAGACTGATTTGTGTCCATTAGAAAGTAGAAAGAGCAACGGTGGAAGTTTATTAATTTTGTGATGCCATTAAACTTTAAACTTTGGTTGTGTGTTGACAAGGTCAATCAGTTGAGGTTATTTATGTAGCACGTTTCAGTAACAATGCAGTTCAAAGTGCTTTAAATCATGAAAACACATAAAACAAAAACATGTAGTCACCAATGGAGAAACCAGTAACAAACATTACATTTTGACGAGAAAATCATCGATGCACATCAAATATGCTGGTCAATATTCCAGTGATTATGGGTCGAAAGTGACTCTAAAGCCTTGATTTAAAGGAACTCTGTGTGTTTTGGATGTTTGTTCCAGATCCACTGTTCAGAGGAAAATGCTCAGAAATGTGAAAGGAAGAAAAAGCTTCATAAGACCCATAGCTCGAACTGTGGTTGAGTCAACGCTGTGTCCTGCTATGTAGGACACTAGATGCCGCTGGATTAGCACAATTATCATTTGATCAATTTAAGACTGTGACCAGACCTAATCGGGGCGTTGCCAGTGGTTACCTCAGAGGCAATAACAGGAGCTGCGTCGGCTCCGGGGACTTCCACGATCAATGGAGGACCTGCTGGCTGTGATCGCCTCTGTTCAACTCGGATAATGGCCGACAGCTTTGGTCTCTGTGGGAGTATTATCATGCGTACATAATAGCAGGACTGTTTTAAGTAGTAGTTTATTGTGTCTTGCACAGGGACCCTTTGAACCTTTCTACAATTATTCCTGGACTTCTTAAAAAAAAATAAAATAAATAAACTCAACAATGCAACCTTCAGAAGTCACTTTATTGGTAATTAGACGTTCAGTTCTGTATTTTATTTTTTCCTGTCCTTGGTTTGTCTCATGATGTCCAAAAATGTCAATTAGTGATTCTCAGTTGTTGGCCCAGTATGCGTGTGTGTGTGCGTGTTTCTTTGTAATACCTAGCGGGGATGATCTTCCTGAGACATACTGGGTTGTGGGGACCCACTGCCTGGTCCCCACAAGGGGAAACCCTGTTTTTGGGTCAGGGGTTAGATTTAGGACTAAGGTGTGAATTGAGTTTTGGTTAGGGTTAGGTTTAGGTATGTGATGGATAGGGTTAGGATAAACGTAAGGTTTAGTCTGTAGAAATGAATGAAGTCAATGGAAAGTCCCCATAAAGATAGCCACGCAAACGTGTGTGTCTGTGTGTGTGAATAGTCTTTTGTCCCAGTGATGGACTTGGAAGCAGTCCAGAGTCTGTTGACCAATGAACGGTGATGTTCTTTTCAGGTGAACCTGTCCCTCTGCACATATAATGAGGAGGCAAATAAGTTTGAACTATGTTTTTGTTTTCACAAGTATGTTTCACTACCTATAACTGTTTATTTTTTTTAATCACTGTAGAATTAAATGTTCCAGGTTTTACAACTTAAATACAACAGCATGTCTTTCATGCTGCATCCCACAGTAAAAAACCCCATTAAAGATAAATAAGTTTTAGACCTATGTGTGCTTTAGAGAACCTCCATCCAGGTTAGAACTATCCAGTTCAGATAAATATGGCTTGTTTAAATACAATGAAGATCATGATAAAAAAAAAAGAGAGACCTTAAATTTAACACTAATTAACATATTTTCTTAAAATCTCTAATCTTCATTCACTGGAGATCACAAAGGGCAATTAAAAACCCATTCTGGTGAAACTGATAACTTTTTACCCTGGACAGAATGGCACCCTGGGTGATGAGCCATATTGCCAATGTCCAAAGCCCAACCATAATGGGTATGAAAATAAATTGTAGCCAGTTTACTTATGGTTGATGTTTTTATAGAGTTAGAAATTTAATCATTGTGTTGTAATTATTATAGGATTTTTACTTATTCTTTGGTTTTAAAATGTCTTGTTTTTAATTATCTCTGTTGTTTACTTATTTCATGGTTTATTGTCTGTAATCATTCCTGTTTTCAGTATTTTTAGTCATTTTAACCAGTTATGGTCTCCACTCAGCTGACAAACACTCTGCTTGTTACACTCACCTGATTGTTTCCCCCAATCACCTTCTCAGCATTTAGTTAGTTTTGTTTTGTATTTATTAAGTAATATAAAATAAATCTTCATCCATATGATTCATCCATTCTCATGTTGTCATTTCTGCATTTTTTTTTGGGGGGGGTTCTCTGCAACAACAAAACATGTCAATAAGGTTTACACATATGCCACCTACATTAGATGTATTAACATCCTAAAAGGTTTTTCCTTCGCTATAAAAGTAAAAATTTTAAACATCCAATGTATTATATCTATTATGAATACATGATTTACATCAGGTTCAGTATCAGGTCACTTTTCTGGCTTTTATTGATCAATTCTATTAATTCAAGAAATGTACCAACTACTTTAAGCAGTCAAAAAATGATTCTACATTTTGTTGATAAACAAATCTGATTTAATAAAATTAAAACCCGATGTATTTCAGGAGTTTGTTTACAGAGAAAGAGAGGGAAGGAAGCTGTGATTCCCCACTGGGTGATGATCCTGCTACAATGTGTGCACTACCATGACTCGGTCATTGATAATTTGAAGCAGGATTATCCTCATGCCAGAGCTGTGACCCCATCACACTCACACCGCCTCTGACACTCCTCCAGCTAAGTCATTACAACTCTCTTGGCAGTGCTACGCCATCACTTCCTGCTTCCAGTTCTTGCTAAAACCCAAACACAGTTCACTAGATAAACCATTTTCTGAACTCGCATGCACTTTGTGGCTCAATGTCACGACGTCTGCCTAGATCTGATTACATTGTGCCGGTTTTAAGACGCAGGCGAAAATATTCAGGTCATAAAACACAAGGATGTTAGGTTGCTTCTTTTAACATTGTGACATGGTTTTAAACTGGGTGTAATTTGTAAAGTAAGTAACACCACAGTGAAGTTAGCAGCACTGGTTAACATGAAAAGTGCCGTTTCTGTTCCTCTGCGTGTGCTAATAAAGGGAATAAAAAGTTCAAATGATCCCAGGATTCGTCAGCTTGCTCTGTACAGACACTTGTGTCTATATTTGGGGGCCCATTACATGAGAGCAGCATATGTCCCGGCTTAGTCAGATGGGCTTCTGTCTCAGTGGGAATATACACAAGACAAGACCAGGGGGGGACACACTCACACATATGCAAACTACCGAACAAAAGACGTGTAAAGCTGTCCATCATGTTTAAACTGATTACAAGACGGGATTGTTTTCACGGTATAATTAGATGTCGACAGGGTGTCACATAAAATCTGGACCTTTGGGGTTTAATGAAAAGCCCTCATCAGAGTCAGTTTCTCAGACTAGAATTCCTAAACACGTTCAAAATGGGACAACTGTTTCTACTTTAAGTTCACTTCTTCAACATTTTCAATGCAGTTCTACTAATCAATTATTTATTTGCTGAGTCTGTATTGGACTAAAAGAGATCTGGTAAAAATAAATTCATAAAATTGTATGACACATATTTACAATAAGTTTAAGTAAACTACTAACCACAATCTTGCATCGTACTCGGTCGGATTCAGTTTAACCATTTCCAATCATGACCCTTAACGGTGGCGTTCCCCAGGGTCGTGTACTTGGAATCTTTTCCATTACACCCACTGAAGTAACTTATATGCGATTTTATATTAAAATGTGTGCTGAAATAAAATGTCTTCATTCTTCTCTGGGTGAACTTGTATCTTCATACAGAGATGAGTAAGTTAAACACATTTTCAGAGGAGAGTACCGCCGTGAGAAAGCAGACACCTTCTATGTTCTTCATGACCAGAGTGACTCGTTAAAGCAACGCCTCTCTTCCATGGGAGTCTTCCTGCCATTTGTTTCGCTGGGCGGCGGGTGGGAGCAGACCCACCACGTTACCAAGACACGTCAGACACCACCAGGACTTGCTGCAGAGCCGCTGCTGCCTGCACAGAATGATGATAGTGGCCAGCACTTCGAGGACATCCAGCTTGTTTTTGTGGGTGTTGCTACGAAGCTCGTCAAAACAAAAACACAGCTCTCTCATAATTATGGGTGTTTACCATATTTGTAATTGCTGCTCCGAATAATTCTTCCAAAACCTACTACTGCATTTCTATCGTTTGATCACTTTTAACAGATTTGTTCAATCTAAACCGAATGCAGTGAGATGTTTTATTTTTTTTATTTTTTGTGCTTCATATGCATACAGACTCAAGATGTTTTAATCATCATCCCAGCAACATATTAGCAGTCCACTTATTTTCACTTGCGCACTTCAGATCTCACTTACGGGACATCAGCACAGCCACTCTAATCTGTGCTCTTGTTACTTCTCATATCGATTATGGCATTGTATTTTAATAGCCAATTCTCTTCTCTCTGGTCCAACACACAAATCTGTCAATAAACTTCAGCTGGTCCCAGACTCGGCTGCTCGCGTTGTCATTGGAAGAGCTCTCAACATGCGGCGCCAATATTACAGAGGCTCCAGTTTCTGCCATAGATTCTCAACGATGCCACCTGGAAAAAGCATATTACAGATTTTTGTTTATTATTGTGGAACATTATCTTGGTTGTACATGGCTGCTTGGTTTTATCCTTAACATGTCGATCTGTGACAAACTGTCGTTCCTTTCATTAAAACAGTGGCTAGACTAACCATGCTGACAGATTTTATCTTACCAAGTATTTTTTGGTTTAGTTTCTAGTGCAAATATCTCAGTACTCTTGAAATAAGGCAAAAGTAACTTAAAAGTAGTTTTTTTGTATCTAGAAATATTACCTTTTTTTAAGTCAATAATTCCTTGTTACTGATGGAAAAGTATTACTTCCATTGGCAGATTATTTTCCCATGTTTTAAGTGAAATTATCTGCCAGTGGACTAGTACATTTTAATTAATATTAAGGAATTATTTGCTTAAAACAAGCTCATATGTCATGCTGAAGAGAGACTCTTATGTTAGTTTTGTCTTTCCCAAGAGTAGAAAGACATTTGCCCTGGAAACTAGATAAAAAAAAATACATGGTAAGATTTTCTGCTTTTGCAGTGAGATGGGTTGAATGGTCAACCTTCAAATTTTGGGATATTGTTTTATCACCTAACTTTGCTATTAAGTTCTTCACAGCTTGTTCTCTGACATGTTTACTGTCTTCCTTAATGCTGTTTAGAGAATATCTAAATTTATGTTAAAATTCAAGTACACACAGATGAGTTTATGTTGCTAACTCAGTGACTTTTGAAGGCAATTTATTGCGCTGAGAGTTGTAAGAGTAAGTAGACATGAATGGATATAGTTCAGATTTTTATTTTTGTATAAAATCCAGATCATATTTTTCTTTGTAATACAGACATATATAGACAAGCTCGAGGGGTTGTATAAAATAAATAAAGAAAACTGACCCAAGCACTGACCCGTGTGGAACTCCAGAATTGATTCTGGTGAATATTCAAACATGAGCTGTAATGTTTTAGACAAATAAGATCTACACCAACCTTGTGCCATTCCTTTCTGGTCTACAATATAATGAAGCCTGTTTAAAATAATATTATGATCGACTATGATGCATTCAGGGCTATGCAGGGTGGACTTCTACATTTTTTTTCACATTGTTTCACAAGGTTTTAATGTGTGAACACATCTGTAATCATACCTCTCATCTGCTGTAAGCCCCAGGGCTGTTCAGCTCCGAATGCTGGGCCTGTGCAATTGATCAAAAACAAAGCAACTATAAATCAAAATTGACACGGCCATGAATGATTTCAAACTGAACGCATGTGTGTGTTTGCGTCTCCATATGTGTCCTACATGGGCCAACGAGAGGGAAACCCCAAAGGGACCGGCGAAATGAACTGGGTGATCAGTCTCCGGCTACTTGGTGCTGTCAGGAAGGGGGGATGGTGGACGGAGGGGGATGATGGCGGTTTGGGGGGGATGTGAGCGACATTTAGGTTGGCATTGACACTACTCAGTCAGCACTGGGGAATACTGTAAAATGCCTGGAGCTATAATAAAAAATGATGTTGATGAAGGGTTAATGAAGAGGTCTCGTTAGGAGAAGAACCTAATTTGAGACTTTGGTTGGACACAGCAGTTAGACATTACCTTCAGTAGACATATCAAGTTATTTTAATGCACATAAATTAATTAGTTTTAAATCAGAAGAATGAATCCTTTTCATTACCATGATATAATATTGGGCAGCATATTGACATTTATATATTTTTCAAGATTAGATTTTGGCTGAACGAAAGATGGCAATCAATAAGAGATAATAACCAATGGGGTCGGAAATTGGATATAAATGAATATTTCTTTACAACCAATTAACTAAACAAAAGAAATTCACAAACCAAACAAAAGGTCTAAAAAAGAAAGACAATCTGTCAATCAATCAATCAATAAAATTTTATTTGTAAAGCACATTTCAGCAGCAAGACATTTCAAACTGCTTTACATAATTAAAATAAAATGAAAATAAAAACAGCATGTGACATTGAGAAAGAGAAAGACTGTCCTAATTAATCTGAAAACTATGAGATAAAGAGGAATTTTAAACTAGTTTTTCAGGCTCAGTTTTGCGTTTTTAGGCAGCCTCTTCTTTTGTAAGTGCGTTCTACGAAGATTCGCTCAGGGACTGGCTGCCCAGTTTCCTGCTGAGTGGATCGACACAGAGTTTTTCCTTCAGTTTTACCTAGTGTTGGGGGGAAAATGTTAATGGAAGATAGAAAGCTGTTTGATAAATATCAAAAACATCACCAATCAAGTAGTAAAAGAATCAGGAGAAACAATTGGAATGGCCTCGTGAAATTTGTCTCCAGTTTCAGTTGAAAAGAAAAAAAAAGACAAGTAAAAAAATTTTTTAAACAGAAATAGTGTGGTCCTATGAGAGTAAACCACAAGTTGCTGGTTTACAAAATATTGTATCCAACGAAAGTTGAGTGTAAGAAAAAAAACGTCATAAAAAGAGACTCAACCAGCAGCAGAACTGCAGCCAAAAAATCTGTTTCTAGATTTTGGTGGAGATGCACCAAGTATGGACTGCAGCTGAAGATTTTGAGTTTTAAGAGTCGGCACACACACACAGACACACAGCCAGAACATGGGTTATCACCGTGGCAACCACTCCTGAACCAGATTGAAGCAGCAGGAGTTGGCACCTGGCCACACGGCCAGTGTATATAAATACCTGCTTTATAACCCGTAGTATCACTGTGTGGCACTAGTCAGCAAACTAGCAAGAACTAAACCTGCTTTGAGGGCCGGTGGTGTTCCGCCAAGAGGAAGATGAGAGACACCAGAGACAACAGAGGACTGATATCAGAGCAACCTGGGCATCCACTGCGCCGCAGCAGAACCACATTCTGATCTCCTGACCCACTCCCTGCAGCAGCGCCAATGCTAAGGTGTCACTAGCTGAACGACGGCATAATGGGGCCATGATAGACAGAAAGGACAGGTACATTTTTGCCAAAAAAGTCACAATTTTGAGATTCATCTCAGAAATTTTCTAGAAAATATCCTTTGAAATTTTCAAGCTTGAAAAGTCAAAGAATTTGCTTGAAAAAAATTTCAATTTTGAGAATAATCTCAGAAATTTTCTGGAAAAAAAATGTGGAAATTTCTGAGTTTCAAAAGTCAAAAATTACAGACTTTTGAAAACTTTTTTACTTGCAATTTTTTTTTTTTTACTTTTGGAGCTCAGAAATGTCCTTGTTTTTTCTCAAATTTTGGAGATTACACTCAAAATGTCTGAGTTTTTTTGGTGGAAATTTACTCCTTCCCTTAATGGCATCTACAACGGCTCTAATATGGTGTCATACTATCTGCGTTTCTATTTACCATGTTATTGCACAATTTGACATTTTCAAAATAAATTAGTTTAATGAAAATGCCAATTCAAAAAACCAAATTTGTTTTTCGCTAAAAGCGTTGGGGAGAGAATGGGGAGTTTTTTTTTTACCGTATTAACATTATTGTATTTCACAAAACTGCAATGGAAAAACCTTTTTAGCACGATCAACAACTGGACGATGCCACTGGTGCAAACCACAAAGAAAATGACGACAGGAAGTTGGACGATGATGGCGCGGCGTGTTTTCAACAAGTTGTCAAGTGAATAAAGTTATTCACATGTTTTTAATTGTGTTTCTCCTTTGATGGAAACACAGCAATTGCAAAATTGTGTTTTTTCTACATTAGCATAATATTGACAATGTTTTGAGCACATTTGCAATGGAAACACAGCGACTCTGGTGTTTTGTCCTCTCCACTGATCACTCCTCGTAGGGTTTGGCTCAGCAGGCAGCTGTCTGTGCACCTGAGCTTCCTCCCCTCATTAGGCTGCTGCATTAATTTAAAAAACTGTCAGACAATCTCCAGTCGCCCAAGTGTCAACCCACACCTAGTTCTCTCTTAGATCCTATTTCCATGACTATTGGACTTTTCTGTGCTTCCTAAAGTTCCTAAGTCAAGATTCCAGTCCTCTCTGGTGGAAACTATAAAACTTCTCAGTAGAGTAGTTAGTTTATTAGCTAGTTAATAAACCACTAGGTTTTTTTCCTAGTGGTTTTATTTGTCAACTTTAATTTATTATGCACCATCATAATTTGAATTGGCAAAAAAAAAAAGATGTACATATATCTATCTGTGTGTCATGAATCTATGTAATGAGTTTTAATTCAAAATCATATTCAAAAATGCTTCATGGATCCCAAACGGAAATTAAATGTTGTAATTTGTATCAACCAAGATTCTTCAAAGAGTTGTGGTAGATGCTGATGGCTGTTGCCAGGAAGGATCTCCTATAGCAGTCTGTATTGCAGTGACTGTGAAGAAGCCTCTGACTGAAGACGATGCCTGTTATGATCAACGGGCGATGAAATTTCGTTCTCATTCCAACGCATTTTGCACCAAATCCTTTTCATTAGGTTTTTTAAGAAAGACTGGGTGAAAAAAAAAGAGACTGGCCTAAATAAACGGAGCAGATGTGATAAAGAGAACTACACATAACATTTGTCATGGATGGGCAGAAGGTAGAATAATCCCAAACGAAACCCTCTGAGTGGTGGTCAGGATTAATGTTTTTTTTTTTTTTTTTTTCCTGGTTTCAAACTGTTCTGGCAGCAGGTTTTAGAAAAAGGTGAAACTTGAAACTGGATGGGATTATTCCCATATTGCTATTCTCCCTCCCCATCTTTAATCTCCTGACAGAAACCTCCAGATAACAGATTTATCTGGGATAAGGTCCATGTTGCTGCACAGTCTTCCCCCTCCTCCTCTGGGGAAGCAAACCGGGGGGTGGTGAGTGGTAATCCGCCTCTCTGTACAACAGGGATGTTAAACAATGCCAGTAGATGTGTTTAGAAGCCTGTGGAATTGAGGACAGGCCTTCCAGCAGGTAGTCCTAATCTCTCCCCTCCTCCTTTGATCGGGCCTCTGTTGTACTTTATCGGACACACTCTCTCCCCATCGCAGTGCCGGGACATTAACCTGTTGTCTCGGGCGATTAGAGTCCAGCGGTTAGACGTGCCATTGGACGTGCGCGTTAGCACTCGTTCATGCGTGTGTGTGTAATAATACGTTTTAATGGCAGCAAAAATACATTCTCGTTTGGGAGGCCGAATCGATATGGAGCGCGGGGGGTGTCTCATGCTTCAGCTCACTACAGACGGGTCAATAGCAAGCAAAAAAAAAAAAAAAAAAAAAAAGGGCACCAAGACTCAGCAAGAGAGAGGGAGCTCTTTGCAATTACAATTCATTATTATTCCATTAGGATCCATAGAGGAACACTTCTGTCGATAAAAAAGGGAGAGGCGGGCGGCAGCTGCGGGCCAACTCCGGCCGCTAAACTGAGGAATGTTGTTCATCATTCCGTATGGAAAACACCTTCAACCCAATCCAACGCGTTAATCTTGCTTTTTAAAAGAGGTTAAAGGGCATGGCTTTGCTGATTAGCCCCACTCTGCTGTAGTGAAGATGCAGCTATGCTGATAGCGGCGTTAGCACCTGCAGCAGGGCATTAAGGGAGATTAGGGTCGGCCTAGTCGGCACATTAAACCCTCCTTGCTATTTTAGAGTCCTGCAGGAGGCCTGGCAGCGCTCTGACTGCTGAGGAAGACTCGGAGCAGTCAGGATGCAAACAGGTTAACGGGTCAGGGTGAGGTCTGGGAGAGAGGAAGCTGTCTGTGTCAAGAGCCGTTCGAGGAACATGTGGTTGAATGGTGGTTCAAGTTAGCAAAGCTGGCAGGGAATTTTATCACACATGAAGAACATCGTTGTCCATTAAAGGAATAGTTATTCATTTTTAAGGAGCATCTGTGGAAGTTGTCCATAGACTCCCCTAGCATCTTTATTTAGCAAAATACAGAGGTGTTCTTCCAGGATGCTAAAGCTAAGAGTGCATTCACACCCCTTCCGTTTAGTTCGCTTTAATCAAACTCTAGTTTATTTGTTAGAAAGTCCGGTTCCTTTTGGGAGGCGAGAATGCATAATCGAACTCTGAGCGTCTAAAACCCTATAGGTCTCAGTTCAGTTGAAATGAACTCGGGTGCAGTTTGAATGCATTCCAAAAACAGGAAGTGGACTATAGCACAGGGGCATTCTGGGTGAATACAACCAAAACAAATGCGAGAGGCTAGCTAGCGGCAGAAGTGGCTCGTGGTCTTTTGACAGCTGCTAAAATCTAACTACTCCATTTTTGTTTACATTTCGTGATGAAGTGGAAAACTAATTTAAAGCGTGCATCATTTTATGTATTTATTTTCAGAATTATTAGCTACTTTGTGTTGGTTCTCACATAAAATCCCAGTCAAATACACTTAAGTTTGTTGTTATGCCACATGGAGATGAACTCTGACTAAGGCTGCTGCTTGTTGCCTCACTACCATCAACATGAAGGACTGATTCCCTGTACGCGTGAAAAAGCTCACTAATAAAACTCGTCATAACCTACAGACTTTCCTAATTGAAAGAGCTACTCGACCCAGCAGACCACGACCCGCATTTCATGCCTCACAATAACCTCATTGCGACTACAACAGGAAGAGGGTCAAACGAGCACGTTGCTCATTAAAGCCAAAAGCACATACGCGAGAAAAGCCCTGAGGAGGGAAGGGGGCGCACAAAAGAAATGAACACACACACACACACACACACCTCCAAGAGCAGCATAAGTAGAGCTTATCCTTTCTAGGAGAGATCTGATCTGATCTGGCACCTACCTCTGATCCCCGCGCGCCCTGTGGGTCAAACGCACGCGCACGCTCGCTCGCGCTCTCCCTCTCTTCGCGGCTGCGCAGTGCACGCTCCTGGCCGGCATGTGGGTCAATGACAGGTGGGGACGGCGCTGGGCGAGCAGCAGGTGCGGCGCTCTGATGAGGGTGTGGCTCTGGCAGGACTCCGCGACCCAGCGGGCCTCCGAACCGGGGAGAACAAACGGCACGTCGAGACAAATCGCAGGACAGCTGCTTAGACGCCAATTCCTCACCTGCTTTGTGACAGGTCCAGATGAGGGGCCACCTAGAGAAGTCGCCTCAGTTGACCCTTCATAAATAGAGAAATGTGATTTTTGTTCGTTTACGTCGTAGACTAATTAGTCTCCAGGCTTGAGATATTAACTACAAACAAACCAAAATATGGCCCCCAGAGAGGGTCTATGAAGACTGTGAAGGAGCTGCAAAATCTGTCAACTGGACGGTAATTAGTCTCTCTGGATGGAAGATTGGCCAAAAGAAAGCAATCGCTGAAAGAAATCAGCCACATTAAGTCACATTTAATCTATCAAAGACAAAATACACAGCAATTAGAAGGAGGTACACTGATCAGATCACCCTGACCACAGTGACACATGGGATGCTTTTCTTAAAGGGGTAGTGGTATGTACAAATCGACTATTTTTGACCTTTGCATCACGTTGTAATGTTATTTACTCATCAAACATACCTGGAGTGTTGCTCTGATTCTTTCATGCATGTTTGAGAAATCCTTAAGTTTCCCATGGCAACCGTTCAGCTGTGTAAAACGCCTGGTTGGGCCATGTTTCCGCCTCACAGAGCGGCCCTCTCCTGCAAACTCCCCCACTCAGCTCCTTCAGACTAGCCAGCAGCAATTAGCAAACACATGGGGAAATGGCACATCTGCCGAGCTCATTATACGAGCTACTTCTCAGTTAACTATCTGCGATACTTACCTGAGATGCTACTTCTCAGGCTGGTAAAAAAAAAAACGTTGATATTTGAGCGACGTTACGATGACTTGCTGAAGAGTCAGAGTTTCAGAAAGAGCAGGAGTTTTTAAATTGACAGAGATATTAAACTGCAAAGGCAAATTTCTTTTAAGTCATATTTTTTAAATAGATGTAGCATTTTTACAACAGCTAAAATTAACATACTTACTTGATTGTGCTATTAAAATGCGATATGTGCCTGGAAAATACATAACACTTTCCCTTTAATTTGTTGATTAGACCATTCAAGTATCTCATGGGAAAATGTTGTAGCGTTTCCAAAGAGAAAAAAAAAGTTTTCCTCTGAGTCAAGGAGGTACTTTCTTTGCAGAGGCAAGTAATCAAAGTTTTTCTTTGCGTGTTCAAAGTAATTTAAAAAAAAATCTAACAGAATTTACAGTGCAAGCAACCTTTCTTATATAAAAACAGATTTGTACAGCAGAAGTATTGATAGACAGTGTTCTTGTGGCTTATTAACAGTATCTTAAACACTGTTTTTCAGCAGTTTCTGTTCAAATCCTGCTGCAAACGAGACAGGAAACAAACCCCTGAACAGACTCCTGGTGCTTTCGGTGAACTTTGGCCGAACAGGCGTGTCTCCTTCTTGGGGAAACTGGACCATTTCCCATCCATTATTTCAACAACCAGCCCAACTCCGAATGTTTGTCCGTTTATTAGCCTTTCTGTTTTGTTTGTGGAGTTCACCTCAGTGATCCTGTTGCGTAGGAACCCGATGATGCACTCACACAACCTTTGGATAGGCTTAGGTATCTTCTACCTTTTGATTTTTGTTCTAATTTTACATGTTCCCAAAGAAGGAAAACTTTATCAAACGGCAGCATGAGCTTTTATCTGATTAGAATGACAGAGGAATCTCATAACGTTTTCAGTAATGCTTCTCGGATGTGTTGATTTCATCTCTTTGTGTTGAGATTTATGACAGAGTCAGGCGTTTCTTTAGTTTGCGACCGCGACCGGCTCACAGGTGTAAGGTCCTCCACTGAGTGACGAATGGCTGTAATTTAAGTCTGATTATATATCCCATTTATTTAACTCTAATTAGATTGTCACCACAGGCAGGCATGAAGGATTCAGTCAAGCCAGCTGACAAATCTGTCGGCTCGTAAGTAGCTCCAAACGTGCCACGACTTCTACAACTAAAAACTGACGACACAAACTGGAAAAACCTGCGGAAACGGAAATCAGAACTGTCATGTGACTCATCCTCACATTTGACAGGCTGGATACTTTCAAAGCTCTTCATTTCACACATTGTGATGCAGGAGTTTATTAATCATCTTGCACCGTCACCCACCCAAACACACACACCCCCTCCCCTCCATGTTGGATAATGAATCACCGTCTCCGCTCTGGCCCTGACCCCGCGGGGTCACGCTTTTATAGACGACCACTTCATCACGGAACAATCTGCTGGGCCACTGCAGACAAAAGACACACAGCCTCACCTGATGACCTTGCCCGATGATCCATGGAGGGAGGCTGGGGAGTAAAATAAACTGCAAATAATTGGAAGAGCAATCTATAGCTGTAACGGAAGAAAGTTGGAAAGTCATAAATGTCACATTGTAGGGGGAAAAGGACACAAGCTATTGGTGGGAACCACGTTTTCTGTTTTGTTTTTGGTTGAAACAAGAAACATAACAAAACAAGAAAAGTAACAAGAATGGATGAAAAGTCTCCAGAAATACTTGCTGGAGTCTGTTAAAAGTTGTTTGTCCATAAGGTTTGCTACAGCCAACAAATCAAATTTAAAATTGATTCTTTTTGTCAGCTCTCATTATTTACAAATGTTCTGTGCGTCTATGTTTGGCCCTTATGACCCTGGGTTACAGCACATGACCCCTGGTGTTCACAATGGAGAAAAACTACTGCTGTTTTTCTTCACTGTGCCTTAGTCCGCAATTGTTGAGAAGGAAACGTTGACATTCTTCTTCTGCACTTGTGATTCACTTTGGGGTAAAACTTTCATGCAGAAGTCTGATTTGGGTCACATTTAATTAGTAGTAAAAACCACCAGGCAAAAAAATTTAGCAAAAAATAAATAAATAAATCGGGATTGAGCTGTGTGAATGTAGCCTTATTTCTACCGTTTGTTCTGTTACTCATGCTATCGCAGAACAGTTAGCTTAAATGCTAACCTGTTAACATGTTTTCTTTCTGTTCTGGTGCAACATATGTTACATTTTGTATCATATTGCTGTATATTGTGTGTAGAAAACAGAAAAAAAGTCATTCTCCTACTCTATAAACTTTGTTTGAAACTAAATCTGAACACACCGAGAAGGCAGCATCACATAATACAGGTCATAGTTGGCTGTGTGGCATAGTTGACATAAAAATCCCAGTCAGTAAACCAACTACAAGTGAGAATATTCCAGGACTTTTACACTTAACATTGTAAAATACCTTGATCAGGGTTTGAAGTTTCGACTAAAAGCCCAGTGCAAAGTGCCAACAAAACACTAATTCCATTTATTAAGGAAAAACTAGTAGATTTCATTTCTTTTTTTGACTGCTGCAGCAAAACACGCTGCAATGAATCATCTCTAAATGTAATAGTATTGAATTGGATTGGAGCTCATTTATCCTAACCCATCCCCTCACAGTAGAGATCCAACCTCCATTTAGGAGTGCCTGCTCTTTTCTTTTTTTGATGTTGACATATTTAAGTATTCACGTGTTCAGACCACAAAATATTTTCTTTTGCTCTTAACTTAGGTATGTGAAGCACGCTCGTATAAGATGCAAATTCGGCTTCATTGTCAAGAAATTGATTGCATCATTATGTAAATGTACCACATTACGAATAAAGCTCATAGTTTGTGACGGCGGTTTGTTTCTGCCTCAGCAGCAAAAAGGAGGAGAGGCCAAATAACACAGAGCGATATATTAGTTTATATTAGTTGTTTCTTTTGTTTTATTTTTTTTTTAGAAATTGAGTGGCGGATCTGTTTACTCACCGCAGGACAATGCAGTGGTTTTACAGCACGGGTCACATCTGCAG